TGTGGTTGCCAAAGCAACTGTTTTTTTTTAATGAATTTCTATTTAAATACAAGTGAAATGACAAGGTTCATTAGCATGATTTATTTTATTGAAGAAGAAACATAACTTTCAATGATGTGTACATTGATAATATCAATAATAATAGGGATTGTTCCTGAACTAATTTGATTTAGTTATTGATTCAGAAGAAGAAAATATAATAATGCAATGTGGCAATGGTTATTTTATATTGTTAATATGAATGATTATTTGAGTAGTTCCTGAACTATTTGGTTGCCATAGCAACGTGGTTTTTTTTATTTTATATTTCTATTTTTTTTTTAAATGTTAAGTAATTGAAAAGGTAAATTAGTGAGATATTTTTTCATTAATGATTTAATTAAAGCAGATATGTTCAAAAAATCAGTCAAATGTGGAATCTACAAATTAATCCAAATTCTCCATAGCAACCATTTTTGTTTTCATTTTATTTTATTTTAAGAAATATTACCACTCTAGAAATTTTATATTTTGTTGAGTATGGAATGAACTTTTACATGATGGTGGTTATTTGCTATGGAGTGCCTGCATTTTTTTGCTATCATTTGTAGAAAATGCCCAAAAACTGCATTTTTTAAAATTTGTTAAATTTGTAAAAATTGACACTTTTCATTGAAAGATCATTCATTCATGACCAACTTATGAATTGATACACTAATTGCGGTAGTTACTTCTATAAATAATACATCAGAATAGGTAACTGTTAATCCTGTATGAAATTTGTAGAAAATAAAAAAATAAGATGAAGTTGGTATAATTTTAGTAGAATGTTGCTCATTTATGAGCTAAAAATGGCGGTTTCGGTAACCATGGCAACCGGTACTCAAATTTGTCTGTTGACCCCAAATATGATCTATACATGGTGTTTCTACATTACATGCAAAATATCAGCCAAATCTGTGATGTACCATTTCCAACTTTTTTCTAAATTCTTTGATGCTTACAGAGAATGACTCTTAACATCTAAATTATTTAGATAAAACATGCTTCAAGGAGCACGTTACTTTTTCGCACCTTTACTTTACAGAGACATTTAAAAAAAAAATTAAATATTGAACTGTTGTAGAGCAAAAAGATTTATGATATTTCAACTGTTCCTAAAAAATTCGTGAAACGTCATTTGGCGAAATTTTGAATTAAGGTAGTCCGATCCTCAGGTTCTGAAAATCAGCTTTTAAGTAATTGAAAATGCTCACAAAAATGTCTCTGATTTCACAGAGTAACGTGAATTTATTCATGGTATTTCTTCAAAGTTCATCATTAAATTTAACCTTATTATATAGGGAAAATTATCAAATCTCAAATATATTTTCAGGAAATGCGAATAAAAACACCAGCTATGCATTTTCTAATTTAAAATTGATCAACAAATATACCTTAGGATAAAAAAATATAGGTATCCAGGCATTTGGAGAAAATTTTATCTTTTTTTTATGCTTATACAGTATTTTAGTTCTATTTACTTCAGTTATTATATAATACATAGTGTAAAATGCTTGTTTATCATTGGTAGACATCACAGATCACGTCTAATTTCATTCCATGCTTATAAGCATTTGTATCTAATGCTACATGTAGATTAAAGGAAATTCGATTTCTCTAAAAATTAATCAATTTTTTTTCTTTTATGGCGTACAAATGTCAACTTTTCTAAGACTTCACAGAACCGTGAATCATATTGAGATACATAAAATCAAAAAAAAAAGTTGCACGGAAAGATCTGAATTTTAAGCTTCATTTTGAGACTTTTTAAATAAAATAATAAATTTAAAAGTTATCCTTCCTGGCTGAGGATCGGATATTCTTAAATTGGAAAAGATATGACTATTTTAACGCTTATTATATATGATCAATGCGTAAAAACAAAGCCAAGAATCGTAACGTCATTGAACGTCTTGGAGCACCGAGCTATTAAAAATTATGTCTACAGACAGGAAAATGCCCGAAAGAAACTAAAATGTTTTTATATGCTGGTGGCGATTGCCTACACGTATGTAGTACCAAAATGTTTAGAAGTAGCAACTTTGTAAGAATGGAAGGATTGACTTTTTGCATTATCAACTCCAGCGATACCCCAATATCCTTTCTATCACATGGACGTTGCGCCCATGAATTTTGCATTGATTCTCATACCTGATTACTGAACTACATAGACGTTGTTTGTAATATCTCACTAATATCCGATACGCCACAAAGACATTTTCGAAAAAAAAAAAACATGTCTCGATATGGTTATTCAATTATTTAGTAAGGAAAAAAAACATGAAAAGTCTATAGAAATGAAAGATTTTTAGGACTGTGAAAAAGCTTGACAGATCTGGAATCAGGTTGTCACGTCACCTAACGTCACAAAACGTTAGGTGATTGCTCCGTGAATCATATGACCGCACAGTAAAAATCATTGTATAATTTCAAAATTTTAGTAAACTAACCTGATTTTTTACATACAAATAAACAAAAGATAAGAATTGAATTAAACATACGCCATTCTTGAAAGTACACAATATATTTCCAGTAAATTAATCATTCCGTGAACTTTTCTAACAACCCTCGTTTATATATATATATATATATATATATATATATATATATATATATATATATATATATATATATATATATATATATATATATATATAACAGAACGCCGATTAAAACTCTACCGATTTCAATTGTTTTATCAGGAGTTTTGACATATTGCTATAGATATAAAAATTTCAAAGTATATTGTGACGTAGTCAAATAAGTGTTGCGCTTTAGCAGAGTTCATTATGATGTCATTATGTTACGTTATTACGTTAACAATTTGACAAATAGTGCGGGAAAAAAGTAAATATACTATCATAATAGGGCATTTAGCACTGGTTGAAACAATGAAATAAAATGTTTTTCCTTGGTTTCACGTTCTTTTCGGAAGTCAAATGCACTATGACGTCATAGTCAATTGCTCTTTGCGTACAGGTAAAATGTTCGGGAAAACTTCAATAAAAATACAGATATACATATGCATACTTAATTATATATATATATATATATATATATATATATATATATATATATATATATATATATATATATATATATATATATATATATATATATATATATATATATATAATCAGATTGTTATACCTTTTAAATGGTGTTCCTATATAAATCAATACTAATAAAAGTCTAGCATTTCCAATGTTTTACTGAGCGGGCATAAAAAATCGATGTTTGACCGCGTAATGAGATATTGGACCTGTCGATGAGATGTTGGGCCGCTTACGTCACATAATGGGCGGGACCAGCTATATCTCATTTGCATTCGTTGGTGTTCGACATACATGTATGTCAAAAAAAAATTAATGAAATAAAAAAATAAAAGGTATAACAAAACATTTATTGACTGTGTTCTCGGGCAAAATGCGTTTTGTCGATCCTCGAACCAAACTGTTTGCCTTCGGCCTAACGGCCTCAGGCAAACAGTTTGGTTCTTGGGTCCGACAAAACGCATGTTGCCCTCGAACCCAGTCAATAAATGTATATTGTTAAGCTTTGGTTTCAACGTACAAATAAAATATTTTTCTTTTTGACGTCTACAAATATCATTTCCTGCTGTAACTTTATAAAAAGGAAATATCTTAAATTTCCTTTGTCCACACACGTCTAAATGTTCACTAAGTGGTATCTATCTGTATTCTGGCGTGTTGATATGCTGTTTATGAATACATACCCGGGTACGAAGAGTGTTACTGGTCTCACCATTATAATATTCTGCACACCCTGGACAGGTTATAACATGTAAAACATTTTGTGTATCACACGACATATTGGCGTTCACTGTAAATCTTCGGCCGTTAAAGTTATAACAAGTTCCTTCAGTTAGATGGTCGCAGGTTCCACATTTTTTTTACATTTAGTCACTGAATAGTTTTCTTCAAAATTAGAGTTACATGTAGTCTTTTCAGGTTCTTTGGTTGACGTCTACTTGAGATAAATTGTTCGTTTGTGTGTGTGTGTGTATATATATATATATATATATATATATATATATATATATATATATATATATATATATATATATATATATATATATACAAATTATGTCTCTTCAGTGATTCTTATGCCGAAACGTTGGAAATCCGAAATTTTAAATAAAACAAACTTGGAAGAGCTAAATAAGGGGGATGCCAAAGACTGGAGCCAAATACGTCATAGGGGCAGAGCTATGCATGAGGGAGATAATCCTTAATGTTGAAATAAATTTCGAAATTTTACCAAAGCTATTAAATATATTTTCAAGCTAGTACAGAAGTACTTAGCTACTGGGCTGTAGAAACCTCGGCGACTAACAGTCCACCAGCAGAGGCCTCCACCCATATGTATACGAGGGTTGTTAGAAAAGTTCGCGGACACGTTAATTTACGGAAAATGTATTGTGTATTCTGAAGAATGACGTATGTCTTGTTAAATTCTTATCTTTTGTTTATTAGTAGGTTAAAAAAAAAATCAGGTCCATTTTCTAAAAGTTTAAAAATATACGATGTTTTACTGTGCGGTCATGGGATTCACGGAGCAATCGCTTATAACGTAAAGGTGAAGTGACAACCTGTTTCCAAGCTCGTCTAATACATGTAATATGAACAGAATAACTGTAAGTTAAGATTAATTAAATCTTTGAGTATTATAAAAAAAAATAATAATATGAATTAAAGAAAGTATGCCATGAAACAGACTTCTTTACAATAGATATTTTAGATTCTTGTCACATAAGTATATATTAAATCAAAGTTTGACTGTGATTAAAGAAAATCTAAGATTTTATTTTACTTGGTACTTTTAATTTACCACACTGTTGCATTAATTAATTGAATTAATAGCTGATTGAAAGAACACCCGGTAGCATTAAACACAAATGAAATATGCTTTAAGGTGTACTTGGGAACTAACAATCAATGCTTACACCCTAAATTGCACTAGTGGTAGAAAAAATTAGCTCCAACAACAGAGGGACCGGGAGCTATAGGACACTGTATCATGTCGTTTTCTTCGTCTTTCCATGTAGTAGGATCTAAGTAAGATACCATGAAATTAGCAGTGTTGTTCTCATAAATATGGCCAAATGTAATCAATCGGACATATTGCACCGACAGTGGTAAATAAAAGGTCATCGATGTTGAGAAACTTATCGATCCATCAGTCATGATTTTAAAATCTGAAAAATACATAGACTTGAAATAAATCAATAAATGAATAGTTAAATAAATACATATAATCATTTTTTTCATACACATTTATATATTGAGTATGATTTTCAATTTTGCTTACATAATAATAAATCTCACACTCTTTCTCTCTTAGAAATCAGAAAAATGCTGATTTTTACAATACAGGGACTTTACTTAATTCAAAAACTCTTTATTTCATTTGCAGTATATTTGTTATTTTGTCTAAAGTACTGTCTTGTGTGTATTGAAACAGCATTTATGTAAAAAAAAATCATTTATCTAATAAATTACATATTATCTATGATGAACTAAACAGTAAAACAAATAAAACAGTACATTTTACAAAGATAATTATAGCGAGCGCAGCGAGCGGCGCGAAGCGCCGCTCGTCACTGCGAGCTCTAACGACAACGCCTGAGCGAAGAGAAAATTCGGACTACTGCATATTCATGCAATAGAATTTTTTCCGCAGTAATTCTGGACCCACAATGCATCGCTTGTTTAAGTTACGTTCTCGCGAGAATAACAATAGAAGTTTAACTAACAAAAAATAAACTCGCCTTGATTTAATGGATATATTGCAGATAAATAGTAAATAACGTTCTTCATTAAAGTCAACAATGTTCAGGCTTCGGTTTGGTAATGAAAGTTAAATACGACGTCATGTGACGTCAGAGTCTAGACGCACCAAATGTCACGTGCAGTTTGACGAACGAGCCCGATCTAAATTAAACCTGAATAAATATCTGCGCTCGCCCTAACGGTCGCACCGTCAACATATTAGTCAACCTTTGATGGTATCACCAATTGATGCGTCATTACAGTCGTCAGGTGCTGGTGGGCATTTACATCCTGCGAGGTTTGCAACCCAACGTACCTCTCCACCGGAAGTAAGCACGGTATGAATTTCTTTGAATGATGTCAGTTGCTTTTCATCTGTATGTTTCTTGATCCATATGCTACAGAAAGAATTGAATGATATCCAATGTCATTTCAATTAGTGAGTACTTTTCTTGTTTAAAACGTTTATAAGAAAAAAAGTATAATACTTTCCCTCTCCTCGTGTCCAATTACAATACATCCCATCGATATCTGCGGTGTTATTCACAAAAAAGCCAGGTCTCCCCCAAAATATCAGAGCTGTATCATTGATGATCCATATTGTTTGAATTTCTTCATTTAAATCTGAAAAAAAAAATCCTTTAGATAAAGTTGTTATAATTAATATAATGCAAATACCAAATAAAACCGATTTCTAATAAATCTAAATTATCAAATGTTAATAATTTCGTTAGTATCTCGTTTTAACGAGTTAGTATTGCTTTGTAATTCAATTCAATTCAATTTATTCACTCAAAACCATGTAAATGGTACATGAGGTGCATAAACATATAAAACACTAGATGAAATCCCGCGCAAGCGCGGGTAATTGAATTTATACCACTCCGACAGAAAATATATTGTTGTTTCTACCGACAGCCTACAGGCTTATAGCAGGAAGAAATACTTTGTTCAAAATCCCGCATGTGCGTCTCCAACCCCAACCCCCCAACCCCTTTTGTAAAAACTTGAAAAAATAACAATTTCATTAATTGATGTTTATTGTGAAACCTGTTATACTATGTTGTGGATATTGTACTTCAGATGCTCTTATTCCATTTCAGTCAAGGATAAAAGCAACGAATATGCACATTTTACTGACTTTTTTTTTTGAGGGGGGGTGGGTGGGTGGGTGGGTTAAAAATTCACCGGTACTCGGGTCTTGGTTTATAAATATGCATGTGCCTTTTTGATATGTAAGAAATGCACTTTACCTTTTTTACATATCAACAAGGTACATACATATATATAAACCAAGAGGCAACAATTAACTTTTAACGCCCTATGAATAGGATGAGTATTTTGATACAAAGGACTGTATTCAGAGAAAAAAAAACTGAAATGTATTGATTAAAGCACAAAATTTTACAGCTTTAATTGTATTTGAGCAATATGTTATTCATAAATTTTCTCTTTTCATGTAAGCAATTTTATTACGAAGTAGAAATTGTACTTGGGGTTCGTTGCCAAGATGCTCTCACAGTGAGGAATATATTACACATTTTACCGATAAATTTATTAGGAAAACCTACTACATATATGTAATAGTCTTTCGATATATAAATATATTCACAACTTATAGTGTTATCAATGATTTACCATTATTTCAATGACCATTCACACAATGACATCAGCTTTTTTATGTTGCTGCAGCTATAATCGTCTCGTTTTTCTTTTTAACATCGGGCTCGATGCTATATGATGTTCTATAGAAGCTTCCGTCAATATTAAGATCGGTGAATGACAAAATAATTTGCACATCTCCCTTTTTAATCGGTTATCACAACTTATTTCTTTATGTCATTTAAATCAAGTTTTGATTGAATAATTCAGTGATGACGTTTTATGAAATAAATAAACGATTGATTGTTGTCAGTTTCATTGAAAATTGCCAGAAACTTAGATCCGCCAACCGGAAACGCCACCGTACTCTAGTTTTTGCTATTTCATGGCTGTTTACAGAAAATAAAAGTAGACTTTTAATTCAATGTACGATACTTACAATGCCAGTGAAATCTAGATATAGTTTACGGACATCATATTGTATCTAGTGTGTTCTTAGAGGAGTAAATAAAAACTCTGGTGCATCCGTTTCGGAGTTTATTTGCAAAATTTATTAATTTATAAGTATAGATATATACATATAATACAGTGGGTCAAGCAAAAGGTGAGATTAATTAAGCTAGCTAGGGAGAACAGACCATACTATTAATTTTAGTAATAAATGTACATATTTTTTTCAAAGAATCAACATCATTTTGGCGCATGACTTCACAAAACTTCATGTTTGGCTTAAAACAAAATTTTTGGTTCAAATTTTTTTTTCCTCATTTGGTTTAAAGCACTACATTCTAAAATATAATGATATTCATTTCCTATCTGATTACTATCGCATAAGCTACAAATTCTTGCATCTCTTTGAGTACCATTACATCTTCCTGTTTCAGTTGGAAGGTGGTGGTTTGTGGTTCTAAATTTAACTAACGTTTTTCTAAAGAACGAGGGCGCTTTTGATTGGCATTCGACAGGAATCTGGGCGCTCTTGAAAAGTGAAAATTTCATTGATCTGTCACATGAAATTTTAGCATTCTTTTGATGTATCGGGTTCCTGTGAAATAGGAAAGGGAAATATTTTCCCGATATTGTATTTTCATTTGCTAAAAAAGAACTTGAAAATTGGCTTGATGAGTCATTTGGTACAAAATGTTACATTCTTAAACGCGTTTTTCTAAAATTTTGCTATCTCTGGGACTTCTCTCCATGATTTTGAAACGTTATTTATGTGCATTTTAATTCAAAGAAACTAGCAAAAATTTGTAAAAATGGAGAGAAGATCCAGAGACGATAAAAAATGAACTTTTTCCACAAAAAAATTCCAATGTGTAAATGCAGTGCTTTATTGTCGCTTTAAAAACGGTAAAGTGTGTGTAGCGGTGATAGCTCAGTAATATGCGTTACCCGTCAATTTGTAGATTTACTATTTATAGAAGGAGACAGTTGTTTTTACAAAGCAATCAAAAACTAGAATTGGAAAGATTTTGTAAATACTTAATAAGACATTACATTTCTTATAATTATTATCATCTATGTATGGTAGAAAACAATCGAAAGATGTTTTACAAGAAATTTTTGAGGAAAAATTCTATTTTGAAAGAAACAGAAGGAACCCTATTGTTCATTTTTTAATTCTTTTGTTAAATGATGTATTGACTACATATAGTGGATATTGACTGTGATATATATGTATTGTATTATTTGTAAGATTTATCAATAAAAGATTAAAAAAAAAATGCGTTACCCGTCCAGTGCAATGAAAATGAAATATTTTTGGTTCGATCGTCGCATGGAGCGTTAATATTTTTTTAGTACAAATAATCAATTCTTTCGTCAGTTTAATTTTATGTACTGATTTATTTTCAAATAGATAAATTCTGGTTCTGTTGCACCGAAAGCGAAAGCAATTCTTCCAATCCACTGATACCTTAATATACACATGTACTTGTAATTGTTTAACTATACCCTGTAGGTGTTTATCATTTATGTGAAAAGTTATTAAGTTTTACATGTAGTAATTGTTAAGATTAGCAGACTGATATATCAAAATTGACAAAAGTATTTCAAACTAAATGTAACATTTTCCCCATATGCGTAACTTTGTAAAGGGTGAATTAAAAAAAAATGACCAAACGCATATTTATCAACCCACACAAAAAATACAGGCAATGAAAATAGATTTCTATGTCTCAGCATATGTCTTTAGATAGTGTCTAAATACCTGCCAAATATCTCGTTGATATCTCAATTAACAAAAAAGTTATGCCCAAAAATGATGCTAAAATTGTCAGGAGTGCAACACCTTTTTGTGACATTTTGAAATTTCAATATTTTTTGGAGATCTGTGAAATAAATGATAATGCTTTATGTTGAAAATAAAGACTTTCCTGATAATATTCAAAGTATTGAGCTTTAAATGTGGGCTGTAGTAACTTTTGTTTAATCAAGTTGTTGTCATGGCTGATGTTTAAAAAAATGTCATACCATGTCAGGAGTGCAACAGAAAAAATGTAGTGTTGCCAAAAAACATCAATTGTAAAATTCTGAAAGAAAATTAAGACAAAAAAGAATTTTCGAAGTGTAAAACAATAACTGATAGACATTTTAAAACTTAAAAATGTTATATAAATCACAAGCAGCATTAATTAGAGTCAAGTATATGTGCATACCCAATAATGTCAGGAGTGCAACATTTGATGTTTTGCTCCCAAGCATGAAAAAACTATTATCTTTATATGATTTTCTGATTTTTATTTTGGAAAAGAAAGACACAAAGAACATTTTTACCAAATAGATTTATCAATTACAGGATCTGTCTGTGCTTCAGATCAATATTTCTATGGTCAGGAGTGCAACACATGTTTTTAAAGATTCAAGTTGTGTGACAAAAACACTTCTATTCATGCTTAGACGTATTCATTAATTAATAATGATCTTTTTGTATAATTTAATACTAAATTATTGACAGTTTTATTATTAAAATCCTTCCTTTTTCAATTTTATCAATTCATATGTGTTTTTATCTTTTTTGTGATTTTTTTAATGAATGTTAAAAATAAACACACTAAAACATTGTCATAAAATTCAAGTAATTCCTCCTCAACTTCACTGAAACAACAGAACAAGTTCTTATGTAATTTTCACTTCACAATTCTACTTTAAAGGTCCCAATACTTTCGGTCAGGAGTGCAACAAATTTGTTAGAATTATAAATCATCCAATAAGAATAAAAATAAAGAAAAAATGATGAGTAGAATTTTTCTAGTGGGTAACTGTGTTTGTCCTCTAGAGGAAAATATGCTATAGAATATATTTTATCTTCTAAATATACATTTAAGCTAGTTTTTTGGCATGAATAGGAAATAATTCCAGATAAAATGTGAATTTTTAATACTTTCATCTGTTTTAATTATGAAGTATTGGACTATAAATATTGCACAATTTCATTACCACCTCATGTTGCCAACACTGTATGAATTTTTGTGTTCTATGAATTTAATTTTAAAATTTACTACAGTCAGGAGTGCAACAAAACTGCTTTATAATTACCAATGCTTTTTAATTATCTTTACTAAAAATGAGTTGAAAAAAAAATGTTTGATACTATTTGATGTTCAAAACACCATGTCTATCAACAAATTACAGAAATTTTCTAGTCAATTCAGGGATAGTTTTCATCATTTCACATATAGTTTTATATACAATTTATGTATATTACACTTTGCAGATAATTATGTGTTAAGGTCTTCAAAATATGAAAAACCTGCCGTAAACGGTCAAAAATATCAAAACGACAAATTAATTTACAAAGTAAGAATGGGTTATTGTGTGTTATAATTTTTAAAACAATGTGAAATAAAATACATATCAGATGTCAGGAGTGCAACACAATAATGTAACATAGGGTCACTTCAAAATCTAGTATTTTTTGTAAGAGAACTCGTATATAAAAATTCTGTTTTGGCTTAGATTTAAAGAATTGGCTTGAACGGACAAAAAAGTGAAATTTGGGGAATTTTATTACTTCATATTTTTTTCATATTAAAACTTTTCAAACCAGAATTGAAAAAATAATGTAAAATAACAATCAAAAAGCCAATTTTTTGTCACACATACAAGAGAAGGTACTCAATCAAGGTCTAGATTTGATCATTTATACCCCTTTTACCATTTTGAAGCATAAAAAACTATAATTTCTTGTGATTATGTATTTTAGAAAGTCTTTTAAGGTGTAATGATATTTTCTTTTTTCAAAAGAAATTTTACTAATAAAAATTCTGAAACTTTTTAATCCAATTGTCTATTCTATTGCCACTTCAGGATTTTAAACTAGAATGCATTTGCAATATGATGATTTAAGTGAAAAATATGTTAGAAGTAGCTGAATTCCAAAAAAATTCAGTTTGGTGGTCATTTTTTTTTTAATTCACCCTAAAGTGTGTCCACCCCAAATCGTAGACATTTAAACTATAAATGTTTCGTACGCTTTATTCCTGTAGATCACACACCAAACACGTCTATCTTCAATTTACATGTTTTAATGAGTTAGGTATCTCGAATTAACAAGCCAGTAATCTAGTATAAGACCTTATATCTGAAAGAATGCCAGTATTGGAAACAAAAAGAGTCGAGTATATAAAATTTGTAGCAGTGTGCAAAATAAAAATATATTGTTTTAGTAATAATAGCATACGAGTTCATTGTCATGCATTTGATAAGTGTTCTTTATTGAAAAGGCTGAAGATAAATATCTACTTGTAAATTGTTTCCAACACAGTGATGTCATGCAAGTCAGTGTTCGCTTAAGAGTTGTTTAACTTACCCAAATATGATTATTGTAAGCAAGAAAGTTATAATTCTGGCATACATGGTGGCTTAAAGAGCCTTTGCTAGGCAACATCCATACTCACAAAAACTATTTTGTTTTCTACAGTTGAAGAATTTGAGTGTGAACTTGCTTTAGCTTCTTCAAATAGTCAATTCAAATATTCCAAGGGTACAGAGTAGAGTTTATTGGGAACGTGATGGAAGCCTAATTGTTTATTGACGTAAGGCAAAAGTGAATCAAAAGGGACATCAAGTATATTTTGCCTATTGTATGATCGATGTCCTGACTTCGCCTACGTCTAGATGTATTGTTTTTGTTTGTTTGTTTAACGTCCCTCTCGAGAAATTTTCACTCAATTGGAGACGCCATCACTTGCCGGTGGAGAGCTGCAAATTTTGACCTATACTCGGCACTCAAGGCCAGTGAGCAGTGAGGGATCTTTTTTGTGCCTGCATCTACTGCGATACGGGACCTCGGTTTATACGGTCTCATCCGAAGGACCGGTCTCCACGTCCCACAGTGGGATTCGAACTCGCGACGTAAGGATAGATTCCTTACTCTGCGACTCTAGAACTGCGCCACGCAGGCGACAAGGTGTATTGTTAAAAAGCCCCATCACATTCACATTTGCACACTGTGGGGTTTAGAGATTCCATACATTATTTATTTGGTCGTTGCAACCATACGGAAAGGCCGTGCCTAGTTTCCTGATCCAGTATTCCTCTCGTTGTCTATGGAATGGAGTACTCAAAGTATAATAATTATTTTGGGGATATATTTGTTCCGAAATTCTAGCCCTCCTTGAAAGAATAGAGTGGGAAGGCGAATTGAAATGTGTTAGATCAGAACCAGCATCCGTCAGCATATATGTGTAGACCAGGTTAAGATCCACAGACACATCCACGTGCAGTTTTAACATGGATATCACTTTTGATATTCAAGGATCAGTCCTAAACATTGAACTTACCAAGATTCACTAGAGCATAAAAAGTATATCCGATGCAGCATTCAAAGAATGCATACCGCTAGGTATGAGTATAGTCCGAACACATGCAAGTTTATGTTGGATACATGCAACCCTGAGTATAAGCCGTAGAAAGGGCTGACCTTGGAGATAGATAAACAAACAGACGGACATGGTGACATCAGAATATCGCATCTTAAAACTTCGTTGCATGGGGTATAGGACGACATGAAACCCATTAAAATGACAGCTTTACATGAATTTTTTTTGATTTGTTTTGTTTTTATTGTTTTTTGTAAAATACATTGCTGAAAACGACAACTTGAGAAGAACCATGTTGGATCATTTATCTTTCTCCTGCAAATGAGCTACTGGAAAAAGGAAAATATTACAATTCCTACCAATTGTTTTGTCGTCTATGTATCGTGCTTGGCTAAATATCGTTTCTCCAGTATCCATATCTGAATTTTTAGAAGCTACAAACATTTTTACGTCACCGCCGAATACAGGAATATCTTGTTTTGTTGTCGTAGAGGAACCCATGCACATTGAAATGTTAAAAAAGTATCTTACATCTGCTCCATTTGCTAGGCTGGACACAAGGGAGTCATAGGAGTTGACTCTAATTATTCTAAGAAAAGCAGAACCAAATACTGATTTTATATTTCTTTTGTCATTTAAATCACATAATTATAAATCATATGAGAAGTGGCAATCGATACTCAGCTGAACTAAAAAACAGGCAACATGATCGTTATAAATTTAATGCTTTTCAGCTCCATTCAATGCTATATTTGTTAATTTTTTTCGTCAAACAATCGTAATATGTTTAGAAATATGTGACAATTTCCAAAGATTTAAAAAAAAATCATATCAAGTAAAGAATATTAAACTCACTTTTGACAGTTTGCAATCCATAGCGAGGACACGAAATACAGAGATATGAAGGGAATCATGGTTATAAGTGATATGAATTGCAACTACTCCATTGAGTCCTTTGTAATAAACCCTTGAGAATGTACTATTGAAAGACCTTGTACTAGCGACAAAATTAGTACTGTTCTAGAAATAAGCCTTTCATGAAGCATTATTTACTTATTCAAGTAATTCAACGCCATAGCCATAACCAAAACATTCATATTCGAAATAAATTCTTTCTAGGAAATTTCCAATACAGGATTTTCAAATTGTTATTAAAGTTAAATTTCGATGGTTTAGAGTGGTAGAGATTTAAACGATGCTTTCCTGTTCAGACTTGAAGAAAAAAGAACAAAGTTGCAAGAATGAAGAAATACGGTTTGTGAAATTTAAGGAAAATTCATTTAACAAAATTCATTTGACAAAATTGTAGATAAAAAGAAAGTAGAAGATGCATTAACAAATGAATGGCGCATTTCATTAGCATTACTTCTCAAAGTTCAACTTAATGTGTGTCACTGATATGGTCGTATTTAATATCGGAAACCACAGGAACAAATATAGTCTTAGGTTGCCTTGAAGAAACATGCGTCTCTTGATACGAATAGTTACATACTCTACAAAATGATTTCAGATGTATATAAAATGCATCAAATATATATAAAGTGTTGGTATGTTAGTAAAATAATTCAAAATCGCAATAAATGAAGAACTCTTTCCAAAACTGATAAAGTCATTTCAATATGAACTCAGGATAATCCTCAGTTAGCTAATGTAACGGATTTAAATAACAGGGTCAGCATGCACTGAAAACACTTTAAAAGCGTTTTTTCCAAAATGAAATAATGAAAACTACCTGGCTTTTAAGATTTCTGGGAAGTAAATTTAAGTTATCTTAAGAATTTTATTGTAATCAATAACTATCCACTTAAAATGTTTAGAATACTGTATGTTGATGCATGATAATCCTTATTTTGTTTCATGTCTTAGGAGAGGTAGAGATTGACCAATCAAAATCTAACGCGTCACTCTGCCTCCTCTCCCACCTACAGCCTCGGAGGACGGATGTTTTTTTTAAGTTTGTGAGTAACCTCCTTCTACCCCGCCCCTGCCATCTTAATAATTTTTCTGTTTATTCTAAGTTTTAGTTACTGTAAATTTGGATTATCTCCTACTAAATTGGTTTATTCTCTTATTTATATTTTATGTCTGTTAAAATTATATTGCATTGTTAAAAATACTTTTGAAAATTCCAAACAAATTATTTAAGCCACAAAGTTGGCAAAACAAGACAAACTGTTTTACGGCATTTTACTCACGGAAGGAGGATAAGACATTGTGTTTTAGTGATGAGAGGATTATGGAAAGAAATAAGCAATTCAGTTGGAAACTGGGCTATCAAAATACTTATTGCATTTAAATACATTAATATAAATGGAAAATCAAGAGTGAAAAGCAAAGAATATATTTTTTAATGAAAAAGTAGTGAAATACAAATATTCTTTTGTCATTACGAGTTAAGATTTACTACATTAAATATGGAGATAACAAACAGTATTCAAGCTCAAAGTCCATTCAAACAGTTCAGATCAGGAGCAGAGCAAAAAGAACTTCTAAAACATAAACGATGGGATCAGGTGCCATGGAGGAGAGAGCATCCTCTGACGACCGATCACACCCGCCGTGTGCTCATTTTCATGATTGGGAAAAACGGAAAAAAAATCCATAGACAATTAAGTGTGTAAATAATAGCTTAACAATTAGTATGTAAAATATCATTCAACATTTGAATTATTGATAGATTGTATTTGCTGACAAGGTCATTGTATCGACCATAGAACTTGCGAAATGATGCCTTTAAACGAGACTGTTGATATTCTTCTTTCATAAACTTGTTTGTCAATAACTTGCCTCGTTTTAGAAATTGATCGTACGTAGAACATGCTCAGCTGAGAGACATAAACCCCACATGCAGATGTTAAGGATATATTTCTACGTAAGTAAGGGAAGTTGACGGTTGAAAAGTTGGTCATCACGTTTATCATAAAGCCTATTTGTTAGGTTACCAATAACGTCCTTTTTTAGTAATATATCCAAATATGAAACAGATGTGTCAGACTCTGTGGTATCTTTTATTTCAAGCTCACTGGGATATATCAAGTCAACAAATGAATGGAATTAATTATTGTTAATTGATAATACGTCGTCAAGGTATCTAAATGTCGAGGCCACAGCAAGCGTTTTCTTCTTCTCGTGTATAACATTTTGAATAAATTCTAATTCATATGAATACAAAAAATAGGTCTGCTAACAACGGGGCACAATTGGTACCCATGGAAATTCCGACAGATTGTTGGAAGACATATTCTCCAAAAACTACATAGATATTGTCAATCAGAAACTCAAGCATCTTTGAATGTCAAGTTCAGAGTACTCGTGTCGTGTGTACAATCAGAATCAACAATCTCATTAAAAGATAACATTTCGCAAATTGTATGGTCCATACCATGACCTTGTTTGTAAATACAATATATTGTTAGGTCGAGTGTTTACTGACGTTTTTTTCATACAAATTTTAAGGCCATTATTCCATTCTGTTTCACCGTTTTTTCCCTTGACAACGGGCGGATTTGATAGCGGATTCTTACTCTTCCATGACATCTGATCCCACTTCTGATGTTTTTATAGGCCCGTGTTTGCTTTGTTCTCAGTCTGTATTATGAACATGGTTACTGTTAGTTATCTTTTTATTTCTGTATTTTTCTTCAGATGGCCATTATATTAAGCTATTCCAATAGTATATTTTCCTGGAAGGGAAAACTGCAGTATCAAGATTTTATATATAATTACACCATTCGTATAGAATTTGTCTACAATTAGCTATGCTATAGAGATACGAAAGTATTTTAGCTGAATTAAGAAAAAGCATACTATCTACTGCGGAACTTACTATTGTTAGCTCATTTGAGCCAAACACTCTAGTGAGCTTTTCGTATTCAGAAGTGTCGTGTATAACGGTCCGTCCATCTGTCGTCTGTAAACTTGTCACATTTTCAATGTTTTTTTCCCAAAACGTCGATAGGCTAACTTCAACCAAACTTGCTACCGAGCTTTCTATGGTAGAAGGGATTTAAGTTTGTTCAATTGGAGATAATTAAAAATTTTGAATTTCCTGGGCTCATTTAAACAAAAAATTAATTATTAATGATATTAATATGCAATATCGTGTCAACGCCTGTCGTTACACAGGGCATCGGTTTTGAGGGTCTCATCCGAAAGCCCCAAAACTACTGAGGGTTCAGCAAAGGAACACTTGCTATATTTTTATTATCGACTTATTCTGGCTTTAACCCAGGACATTACGAGTACGAAGATGGTGTGCTACCGATTCAGCTACATAACGATCAGTTGCATAACAAATTTTATAAAAATATATATTAAGAGTAGCATTGCCACACTAGATTACATTGATATGTAAATATTGTTTAGTTGTGTGGTTTATTTTTTTTTTAAATCATGAACCCAGGATTAAGAGTGAGGTTAAATATGGGATAATTTTTTTGTTCTTTCAAGAAAAAAGATGAGAAAAATCTTCTCCAGAACAGCAGGGATTTTTACACATAAATATTGATATTGAAGCATCGGTACATGTATGCCATATAGTTTGAAGTGTGGTTAAATCATACCCCCTCCCCCTTAGGGTAGGATAGGTCCACGACATTTGGTAAAATTTTTCCATGAGAAAAACATTTGAAAATCTTCATATGACCAATGTAGTGATTTTACACACATGAAAGATGAATACCTCCTATTTGGATTATTGAGAAAAAGATAATTTTATAATTTCTATTGCCGAGCTCTTCTTTCCATGCTTCTTCATATGCATGGTACAGATTTTGTATAATCTGTCTTTTTGTGTACTTTTACTTATTAACACTCATTAAACATGGACATACCTTATTTTTGATTAAATTGCTTAATTATTAATTGTTCAATTGTGTAATTTTTTTTTTGGTTTCATTTTCATTGGCATAAGTACTGGTTGTTGTACTAATCAATTTAAATAAATCATGTGGACACTTTTCACTATATTGGTAATACAGATTAACGTTTTGTACCATAAAAAAGAGTGTTGGCGACGCAGGTCTAGACATATATTTGTCTTATTTCACCGAATATAAACAATCTTTATTTCAACTTAACTTAATTGTTTGCATTCAATTTAGGTATAAAGATACAGGCTTATACAATTCATTTAATAAATTTTGAGAATTATTGTTAGGATTTGTGGTATAGGATAAAATGGTTGCTATTTGCAATTTGAAACATAAGGCATTTTTATGAATTATAATTTCTTTATTTGATATGATGAAAATTCATTATTGAAAGTAAAGTTTGTAAATCTTTAGGTGAAATCGGCTTAATAACTTGTTTAAAGCTTGAAAAGATTTCTTGCACATAATTTTCTTATCCAATAAATGTGTTCTAGCCTTTAACTTACATATATGGTTGGTTAATTTGATAGTTTTATATAAGAATAAAAGTAATTTTTACTTGATAGTTTTATAAAGGATCGGAATAACATTGATTTTTTACTTGACAGTTTTATACAGGAGTAACGTTAATTTTTACTTGATAGTTTTATAAAGGAATAATAATAATTTTTTCTTGACAGTTTTATAAAGGAATAACAGTAATTTATTCCAGTGAGAGTCATTTTTCTTATGAAAGAATTAAGAAATAAAATATTATTTTTAGAGTTTCATTGGAGTATGACATGACGAAGGGCGTTATAGTAGATTTGATCACGTACCGACTTTATGTCATAATCCAATAAAACTCTTTAAAAAATGATATTTTATATCTTATATTTATATTTTATTTTTTTATTCGTGTTACAAAGAAATATAGGCACTATTAAGACTTTGCTATGGAAATGCAACATAACGTACCTACGACGTCATGTGACGTCACAATCGGACTTTCCAAATGACTCGTGCATTTTGCTTCCCAAACGCAAGAAAGTCTGATCATGTGACCAACTGCATGTCATTGAAAATTGAATTTCAATTTAATTAGTATTGTTATATAAGGAAAGACATTGGCAAATGTAAATATTGTACCTCAATGTCTATTTTCTGTCAGTGTTGTTTTAGTTTATAGAATGCTTTGAACATATCAAAAGACATTTGAAATTCATGTTTGTATACTTAGAATCGAAAGCTCCAAACATGTAATCAGTTAACAGAGTGGTTACAGACTGGATATAATGCGACATAGCTATAATATATATAATATTTTGTGATTGTAAACCAAATTTCAGGAAGTGAATTACGTTTGTACTTTAGGATCTGAATACAGTAATGGAGAATAAAAAATAAAAAAACAACCATCACAAGGGAAGCGACATCTAGAGCAAAGTTGACAGAACAATATGTTGTAATATCACAGTGTAAATGCAAATCCCGAACTAACTTTCGTAACATGCTAATAGCCAAAAAAGAAAAAAGAAAAAAAAATGAAAATGTCATCAATGGAGTCCAGTCTCTAATTCCTTGAGAGTAATCAAGTGAAATGTTTTACTTAAGTACGATTATAATTTTACATTCTTTTCACAAAGAGAATCTAGCTCCCTTTGCATTCGATTCCGAATGTATTGGACAGTGCATTACATCAATATCATCCTGTTCCCATGTTGGTGCATCCAAATGTCTTGTTACAAATGTTGCAGTGTTATTTGCATGAACTTGAACAAACGTTATGAGTCGTATATAGTTCCAGACCAGCGGAAATGTTGTTGTCATTGAGGTAGAGAAATTGATAGATCCGTCTTTCATAATTTTGAAACCTGTAAAATTTCAATTCATTTTTACAAAAGAAGAGGAAAAAACAAAAGGATACAGTTTTGTCAGATATAAACCATGTTTCTTTCATTATCAAGTTCCTCAAGTTCTGACAACATCAAGTACAGAATGTTCAAAAACAACAAAATATTTTTTAAGTATATATATATATATCACAGACCTCCATATTTATGTCAACATATTTTTCTCAGGTGTATTCACAAAAGTACTGTGACATTTTGATATAGTACAACTATTTGCTTGTATCTGCTCCAAAGAAAAAAAAACACATTGTTTTTCGACAGAACCAATCTTCTTAGACATATTTTTAAAATTATTTTTATCAAGAAAATAACTAATGTCTTCAAGTTAAAATATGTAAGAATTGTATTTAACAGAATAAGTAGGAGGATGGGGCATCCAAAATAGCTAACAGGAGGGTGAAAATTGAAATGATGTTGTAAAATGTGCATGACTTATTTTTGTGCACCTTTTATTTCTAAGTATTGAAATTAAAGAGACATAAGAGTCAAAATCATGTTTTTTTTTTAACATATCAGTATCATAAAGCGAAAACTTTATGAAAATTATGAGTATAGCGAAGATATAAAAACTAAACTGCATTGTAAAGCAAGAAAAGACTGCAAAATATGAGTGCCGGGAAACAATGGTTGTATCTACTGTTTCGTTGTTATCGTAAATGTCAAGGTCACGTAACTTTTATTTTCAGCTTAAACTTGTAAACAACATTCAACTGGAGCATGCAAAGGTGAGAAATATGTTCTAATAATTTTTTGGAGCATTGTGTCAAAATTCTTGGTCTACCGACAATCATTTTTTGGTACTTGAGACCATGGTAACTTCTTCAACTTTTCTGCGCACGCGTACAGTAAGGAGGAAGAAGTAAACCAATATTTTCGTGTTGGACCATACAAAAATTTTTTTTCTCCATTAAAGAAGATTTTTAGTTCCGAAACCTAATACTTTTGGGTATTGAACAAAATTTGCACGGGTCATGCAAAAATTCTATGTCAATTTTCCCGTTTGTGCGTCACGGTGTCGCTTTAGTACGTATTGCCGATACAAAAAATCTCCTAAATGGCAAAATAAAAAAGTAAAAGAAAACATTACGGTATCAACATTAGATCAAGTGCTCCACGTGCCACATTGCTCAATGAGTCACATTTTCCCAGCAGATTTTTTTGTTTGAATTTCCATCTTAAATTTCATGAATATTTTGAATTCATGTTGTGGACAGAAACCAAGACCTAAAGAAGTTACGATTTATTCAAATCAATCATCACAACATTGGGATGATTCAGTATCAAAACGATCAACATGGCCATGCACTTTTTGGGAAAATTATTATTATTATTATTATTTGCATTATCTAAATTTTTGATTTCTTATTTTTGAGTTTCACGAGTCAAAATATTTATGAAATAAAAAATGGAAATTTATAAATATCTGTTCGGCCAATATGCCTCAGTGAGCATTGTGGCCACTTGTTATCTCAATTAGTGGATTAATGGATTTTTTTCTTTGCTTATATTTAAAACAAGAGGCCCACAGGCAGATTCTTTTCCCTCCCTATATATTCTTATGTAAAACTTTGATCGCCACTGTGGGCCCATCCTAATAATTTGAGCAGACTATAATTTACACTACCTGGGGATGCTTCCAAATAAACATGACTTATCCTGGCTTAGCTGTTTTGGGAAGAAGATTTTAAAAGATTTTTCCTATATATGCCTATGTAAATCTTTGATCGCTTGTTGTACATGTAGCCTTGCCATAGTCCCTGTCTGATATGAGCTTGAATCTTCGCTATGTAATGAAACTTTCATATAAGTTTCATCTTTTTGGGCCCAGTGGTTCTTGAAAAGAAATGTTTTAAAAGAACCCACCCATTCTTCACTATTTCTTAATTATCTTCCCTTTGAAGAAATATGGCTCTTCATAAGAGCACACTCGAATTTCCTTTACCCAAGAGTACTTTGTGGTAAATTTTGTTGAAAATGGCTTAGTTGTTTTGGGAAAAAAAGGTTTACGACAACAACAACAACGACAGACAACGGACATTTTTTTAAAGAAAATATGACTTGAGCTTTTGGCTTAGATGAGCTAAAAAAATTGCTGTACACATCTTAGGTTTGTTTTGCTTATTAAAAGATGAAGTGTTATTTGCAACTCTTTTTAAAATTTCGTCTTATGTACTCCGTTGTAAAACTCTGATTTCCTATTGTCGTCTCGACCAACCTTTTCTCGAGACCCTTATCTCAACAAACTGAAATCTACACTACTTGTGGATGCTGTATTTTGCCTTCAGCTCAGGTGAACTAAATATAGTTCCAATTTTAGCTCACCTGAGCTGAAAGCTCAAGTGAGCTTTTCTGATCACCCGTTGTCCGTCGTCCGTCCGTCCGTCTGTAAACTTTTCACATTTTCAACTTCTTCTCAAGAACCACTGGGCTAATTTTAACCAAACTTGGTACAAAGTATCCTTGGGTGAAGGGGAGTTTAAATTGTTAAAATAAAGGGCCAAGTCCCCTTACAAGGAGAGATAATCAAGAAAAGACAAAAATAGGGTGGGGTCATTAAAAAATTTTCTTCTCAAGAACCACTGGGCCAGAAAAGCTGAAACTTATGTGGAAGCATCCTGGGATAGTGTAGATTCTAAATTGTTCAAATCATGACCCCCCGGGGGTAGGGCGAGCCCCAATAGGGAATACAAGTTTTACATTGAAATATTTAGGAAAAATCTTTAAAAATCGTCTTCTCAAGAACCAATGAGCCAGAAAAGCTGAAACTTATGTGGAAGCATCCTGGGATAGTGTAGATTGTTCAAATCATGGCCGGGGGTAGGGCGGTGCCACAATAGGTATTACAAGGGGGGAAGTCTGGTAATGAACAGCATGGCCAAAGTTACTCAGGTGAGCGATGTGGCCCATGGGCCTCTTGTTATGATTCACACCACAATATCATTCCCTGTGCCGAATGATACAATTTTAATGGTAAAATGAAAAAGAAAAACCCAGCCATATAAAATATACCAGGAACAGCTTGTACTTGTGTCTCTTTTTTGTTGTTGTTGTAGTGTACTGATTTTCTAAAAACAGATCGCGCATGACGCACTTTTCTAAATTTTCGAATACACCGTCTCTGACCAGGGGGTGTATCAAACATCGGTGGCGAGATTCTGTTCTATGTATATCTGATGTAAAAACTCTTTTTTAAATTATTATTTATATCAAATCAAAATTAAGATGCATCAAAAACATGAGTATAGAAAAGATTTGACAAACTCAACTACACCGTAAACAAGCAGTGCAATATAAAAGTGCCAGAAATAATGCTACAAGTATATCAGCTTGATAGTTTAATTATTACCTATGTCAACGTTACGTCACTTTCATTAATAGCTGGAAACCTTTTATAAAAAAAAAAAGTGCAATATAAAATGCTGAAGCAAAAAACATGTTCTTATCTTTTTTTTTTTTTTTTTTTTTTTTTTTTTTTTTTTTTTTTTTGCAACTTTTCCTTTCTTTTTTCTCGGCCTACCAGCATTCACTCTCCAGGAACGGAGAAGCGAGCATAATTTACATATTTAAGACAATATTTATTTTCTTTCGCCTTTAAGTAGATTCTGAAGGTTTTGAATATTCTTTCATTTTAAAAAACTACATACTACTAAAAATATAAACAAATATGCATGAGTTATGCAAAAAAAATTTTATGTTGTAATTTTCCGGTTTTCTGCGTCTCGTAACTTTATATAGTTAAGATCATACACTTTATGTGAATTCATACCCAAACGTGCATGGTGTATGAGCTATGAGATGTTAATACAAGAAATGGTTCTTATTGCTTTTATCTGAAAATATAAGAAAAAATACCGTTTACACGTGAATTAACGTGTTCCAAAGTATATATGCCCTAATAAAGCCACAAGATGAAAGAGATTTTTGAAGCATAATATTCACAATGGGTCCTAGTTATATCTGAGGTCATATCATAATTGAATGAAGAAACTGCAGCTTACTTAGATTCAGCCAATGTTTGAATAATTGATGCATTGAAAATGTTGATAAATATGATACCTCTGATTGTGTCACCCATGATCCCATTTTGACACCCCCCGGGGCATTGACACTGAGTTTGGTTAACAACCCAACCCACTTCGTCACCAAATGTCAGTGAAGTCTGAATCTCCTGAGATGATGTCAACTTTCCTTGTTGTGCATGCAATTTTACCCATACACTGTTAAATATAAAAAGAGAATTGTGTTACAGCAAAACCCAAATTGCCATTTGCATGTTAACATAGAACAAATTCTATAAACGTTTTCTTTTTCTCCAGAAACATGTATTTTCAAGTAAGTGTGCAAGAAAAGAAAAAAAAAATATTAAGTATGAGATAAATCCTCTAACTTTCCCTGTCCTTTAGTCCAGTCACAAGATATTCCTCCAATGAAATCAGTGTTGTTCACAAAGAAGCCAGGTTTCGCCCAAAATATCTTCGCTGTATCGTTGACAATCCAAAATGTATGTATTTCTTTATTCGGCTCTTAAATAAAGAATATATGAAGATTTCAATTAAATCTTGTATATTAGAAGGCACACAACTGCCAATCTGGTTTTGATAAAAATAAGTTAGATTTTCTACTTGATCTCGATTTTATTTAATTAGAGAGTAATCCCATTGCAATATTAAAAAGGAGATGGGTGAACATGACGAGCGATAAGCCTACAGTGTGACAAACATGAAGATGAAAAAATAAATTTTAATTATATCAAAATTTTCTTTGACATGTCGTCTAATACTAAAATATACTTTATGTAAAATCTCTACAATTTGCAAAAATCCCTCAAAGATTGAAATTATTTGCCTTTGAAATATTAGACACACACTAAAGCGGGAAAAAAGGGTCATTTTCTCATACTATAACACTATTTTTCGATATGAGTGGGTCTTCGCTCCACCTTTTTGAAAGTTAATCCTCAAAGTTTGCATAAAAATATACATTTTTTGATTACCAAAAATATGGAGCAATGACCCACTATACCTTAAAAATATACTTTTATGACATAACATTCGCATCTTTTCGAGAAATACTTGAAGTCCATTAAGTCAAGGGTCATATCACAAACATGATTTAAATGCCACTATTCTTCAGGACGTGTGTAGTCTAGTGGTTAGCGTGCTAGTCTCGAAAGAAAATGATACTTAGGATTTTTATTGCTAGGGTTCGAACCCCACGAACACCACATCAATTTTTTTTAAAAAGAATAAATTTTGCCGAGAAAATTTTCCTCAGAAAAGTTTTGTTTATCATAATTTCATAAATTTCAATAATGAGAACTTTACTCTAAATACTAAATTCATAAACTGAACATGATTTTGATATATCTGAAGCTATAGGCTTTCTGCACGCTACTTTCGCCCATCTCCTTTCCTATCTTTAACTGACGCATGAAATGCAATTAACCTATTTTCTTGAGGGCTCGTTTTTTTCTACAAATCCAATAAAATGCAATCTACCTTTAATTAAGAGAAAATTAAAGCAGGTAGGAAATCTATAGAATAATTACCGTTATAATTTTCATCGATGTATTCCATGTTATTAAACACCGTTGTACCCGGATCATCACCCGAATTTTCACTAGCACTGAAGTATCTGATTTTCCCACCTACAACTGGAATGTCTTTAAACGGTGGAGGCGACGAGGGCTGTACACAGCTTGAAATGTTAAAGAAATACCTTACGTCTACTCCTTTTTCCAGAAATGAAACGAGCGATTCATAGGAATGGACTCGAATCGACCTGCAAAATAAAACAAAATAAAGGCATGCAAGTATTTACTTCTTAAATGAGATAAAACAATGAACCGATATTGCACAAAGCATTTTCATTAATATCTCATGAAAAATCAAAACAAGTATCAGTAATAATTAGTTTTAATTATTGTTTCCCTTATTGTTTGTCTTGTCTATCTTATATAAATGTTTTCTATATGATTTCTTTTTTTTTTATAAATTCTTTGATTCACGCCATTGATGATGTACATATATATTTAATATGCAATGTTGGTGCATTTTGATATCCGTGAGATGACCATCGTTTACGGTGACCGTCATGACTATTTAATTTGAAGACCAAACGCCACTCAAGCGATATTACCTCTCTTTTTTCTTTATGAATACTGCGTAATTTTCTTTACAATGGCCAATTTAAAAAAAACGCTCATTCTTTAATTTTTTTTTTCAAATCTCTTAGATTTAGAAATCGCGTCATCATCACATCCTAATTACCAATTTTAATTGCTAGACCAACAGCTTATAGATAGAACTTGACAATTGGCTGCTAACACTAGAACTTCACTTCCGGTTTTTAAACGTGTGACATCTCCCGAGGAAGACAAAAAAAAAAGGAAGGCAAATATGACATTTTTTTTAAATCAAAAAAGTCACTGATACCAAAGTTGGTGATATTAATGTCAAGGATCAAAAACACATATTTCATATATATATGTATATGTATGTATATTGACTGTCACCAAATTGAATAAAAATATATTAAATCTATTGTTTTTGTTTCACTAATTGTCCAACATTTGCTTATTAATTTGGAAAAAATGATTTGGCATTAAAACAACGAGCTACCCTATCAATGTAACAAGTTTCACGTAGAAGTAAGTGGGCTGCACTTAAAAACAAATATGTTATGCATATTGCCTTTGTTCTTGTTATAATCATTGTTCAAATAAATTAATTGCATTTACTGCTATGTGCAGTAAGTGCCGGTTATCGAAGAAGAATAGCCTAAGCGCGATAACTCTCCTGGCTTCAACCAAATTTCCCAAATATCCCCAGGTCATTAAATGCGCTTGCGCGCACATCCTTTCCGCTTCATCAATTTTGAACAGAGAACATCGCCAAAAAATCAGCTTCAAGCCCTATCTCAATCAAGAGGATTATTGTATTGTATAAGTATCGCTCCTCAGGACATCGGTGTGTATTAAACACCCGGTGAGGCATTGGAAGCGAATTGGGCGTTTCCTTCGCCTCAGCATCTTCAGATGCCAGCGGATTTAGCTGGCTCCATTCAAGAACACCATCTATTAATGGCGCCATTTCAACTATAACAAAGAAATCGGTTTAAACTTATTTTGTTTTTTCCTGCTCAGTTTACAATAATATTGGCACATAATCAGTCACAGACTCAAGCAACTAATTCAAAATAATAATAATAATAATAATAAAAAAAAAAAAAAAAAAAAAAAAAAAAACGTACAATGGTAAACACGAGATTACACCTGTCAGTCGTTTGTTTTGCAGAAAAATGCTCCGTACAAAAAAGTCTCCAAATCACCATACGCTAGACCCGGACGCGCCCAAGCTGCCGCCAAAAAGGCGAAAATCTCTAATACTACGACGAGACGGACACAGGTCACACCCGCACCCACAGTACCAGTCGTATCAACTCAGCAGAACATCCAGGAAAACCACACTCCAGCGTTGACAGCACCAGCTCCATCAACCCAAACTCCAGTGTTGACAGCACCAGCTCCATCGGCCCAAACATCAGCGTTGACAGCACCAGCTCTATCAACCCAAACTCCAGAGATGACAGCACCAGCTACATCAATAATGGCAGCATCTGACCCCTCAGTCTTCTCTGCAGGTACATCAGCATCATGTACTAATATCAATTTCGATGCAAATACACCAAATGCTTTAAACAGCGTTTCAGACGCTTTGGGCGTGCATGTCTCGGATAGCTTGAGGCAAAATACCTTTGATAATGCATTCATTCACCTGCACAAATTGCTCCCCCTCAAACCAAATGACGAGCCCCAGCAACAGCTGGCATTTGTTAATGGTGAACTAGTCTTGAAACCCAAACATAAGGAAATCAAAATAACATCAATAGAAACATGGACAAACGCATTCCTAATATTTACCAGCATATACCTAACTAAGTTCCCAGAACACATTCAGTCAATACTTAAATACATTAACATCATACGCACTGCTGCACAGCGATCAACAAACTTAAATTGGCTCAATTACGACGTACAGTTCAGGTTAAAGCGATCTAGAAACCACACACTGGACTGGGGGTCTGTCGATGCAGAATTGTGGCTTTTGTATGTGACCCATGGCCAAACCACCCTATCCCAGCAAGCACCTAATCATACATCTAAATCACCCAAATGCTTTGACTTCAATTACAAAGGTACATGCGGCAGACCATACTGCACTTATCAACATGCTTGCATAAAATGCTCCAATAGTCACCCACTCATAAACTGCCGCTGGCACAACAATCAGCCATTTCGCACAGAGAGCTCTCGACTGTCCCAAGCAGAACAAACCCGCCAGCCCCCAAGCAGATTTCAGGGTAGAGGGCTCCCACCAAACCACACAAGGCCTCTGGGACTTCGCTCCAACACCAGTCAACGTTAACATCTTAAAATCAATGCTTAAAAGAGACCCATTACAACACATAGCTCATGAATTGATCAATGGTTTTCAAGCTGGTTTCAACATTCACTATTCGGGTATTCGGGAATTTCAAAAATCTAAAAACATGAAATCTGCGCAGACAAATTCACATCAGCTTCAAGAAAAATATCGATCAAGAGGTAAAATTAGGCAGAATAGCTGGGCCCTTCAAAAATATTCCCATGTCAAATATCAAGTGCAGCCCAATAGGTATTGTTCCCAAAAAGCAGGGGGGTTGGCGTATGATTTGTAACTTATCTGCACCTGGGGGAAATAGCGTTAATGATTTTATTGACCCAGATCTATGCACTGTTCATTATACATCATTTGACTCGACAGTAAGAATGATAAAAGAACTGGGCCAGGGTGCCCTACTAGGCAAAAAAGACATTTCTAGTGCATTCAGACTCCTTCCTATTCGCCCAGAAGACTTTTCCCTGCTTGGCTTTCATTTTAAAAATTATTATTTCGATAAATGCCTCCCATTTGGATGTTCTATAGCTTGTGCCACATTTGAAAAATTTGCAACAGCCCTTCATTGGATTGTACAAGATCGAGCCAAAATTGACACATTAGTCCACTACCTTGATGATTTCCTTTTTGCAGGCCCCTCAAACACCCTTGTGTGCAAAAACCTCATGCAAACGTTTGACATAATTTGCGAAACTCTCGGCGTTCCTTTGTCAGAGGAAAAAAACTGAAGGTCCTACAACATGTCTAACGTTCCTAGGGTTAGGGATCAATACCAGCAACCAAACCATCTTTGTACCTAAAGATAAACTTGTCGCCCTTAAAGCCCAACTTCAAAATGTTGCCTCGCGTCGCAAAATTACACTTAAAGAAATGCAATCATTAGTCGGATCCCTGGCATTTATTTCCAAGGCAATACCTGCCGGGAGAGCCTTTTGTAGACGATTCTATGATAGCCTATCACAGGGACACAAAAACATCATTATATCACTATATCAAGGGCACTTCGTGAAGATGTAGATATATGGCTCGAGTTTTTGTCTGACTTTAATGGCACTACTGTATTCCCAGATATGCGTTGGTCAGATAAGGACACTATCCACATATCCTCTGACAGCTCCGGCTCACTCGGATGTGGGGTCATATTTGGTTCACAATGGTCCTACCTACAATGGCCCTCAGAATGGTCACATCATGATTGTAGAGATCTGACCTATCTGGAGTTAGTCCCAGTCGCTCTTGCAATTTACATATGGGGCCACAAACTCCAAGGCAGAAAAATAATTTTGCATATCGATAACATGGCAGTTGTAGAGATAATCAACCAAAAAACATCAAAGTCACCAAGAGTTATGTCCCTTCTCAGACCCTTTCTTTACAAAATATTAAAATACAATATCCAAGTGCGCTGCGAACACATACCAGGTTATTCCAATTCTATTGCTGATGCCATATCTCGTTTTCAGTGGCTAAAGTTCAGGAAGCTGGCCCCCCACACAGACTACTATCCCTGCCAAGTTCCTCCGGAATTCTGGAACCATTTGAGCAGGAAGTAGAACAGCTACTCAGAGCATCAGTCTCCCATAACACTCAAGAAATATACCAGAAAGGTCTCGACTCTTTTTCACAATTTAGAAAACTTTTTAACTTGAAGGAATTGTGGCCCCCTCCCGTAGACCAATTAATAAACTATATTGCTTACCTATCATCAAAGGGGACAACATACACTACAGCCAAAACCTACCTAGCAGGCTTAAGCTTCACCATAAAACTTGGTAACTTCCCAGATCCATGTCAATTTTTCATAGTCAAGAAAATGCTCCATGGCTTTAAACAACTCAAACATAGAAAAATTTCAAGAAGCCCGATAACATTTCCCCTATTAGTTAAGATAATAGATTCGTTGCAACACGTATGCCGAAATTATTACGAGAAATTACTCTTCTCCTCTGCTTATGGCCTTGCATTCTTCGCTTTACTTAGAGTCGGGGAGATAACTTCCACTAAGGCAAACACCACCAGTTCCCCATTGTCAATACAAAACGTATCCATATCACAATCATCCATACTGATCACATTAGGGAAAACCAAAACAGATCAGCATGGCAAGGGCACAACAATGCAAATTAACAGCACAAAGCAAAATCAGGTCCTATTTCACAACATACAAGCTTACATGACCCATAGACCATCACAAACTCAAACATCTCAGTTTTTATGTCACATGGATGGCTCGCCCATGACATACTGTGGAATCATCATTGTTCGTGGGGGATCAATGTTCGTGGATTTCGTGGGTCACCCTTACCCACGAATTTACATCCCCACGAAGAATTTTTTGTCAACGTACTGATGAATTAAATCTACCAAATAAACGAGCTACCCACGAAATTACATGCCCACGAACCAATAAAATTTTGCTTGTCCACGAACATTGACCCCCACGAATTTAAATGATTCCACAGTACTATCAATTCAATCAAGTACTAAAGAAAGCTCTATCATTCCTCAAGCTTGAAACATCAACATTCAAATCCCATTCATTTCGCATAGGGGCGGCAACTTCATTATATATGC